CTAGGATCTCCTCTTTGAAATGATTCCATCGGTTCCACTTTCTACGTAACTGTCAGTAAGGTTCTTAAAGTAAGCCTACCAGTACAGAAGGTCACCTGAACTGTCACCATGAGTGAATGCAGATACAATGCACCATCTCCGGGCCCCCAAAACCCGGGTCACTATTTTATTCAAATCTAGACTTTTGTAGAGAGGCAAGTGTCGCAGCGCCCGACTGGGTCCCTGCCGCAGCGCCCGACTGGGTCCCTGCCGCAGCGCCCGACTGGGTCCCTGCATATGATGGGGAAGGGGTCCTTGCCATCCTCAGCAAAAATCTTGATTTGCATCTTGCACCTCCTTGGGTTTTGGGGCCATGAGAAGCTGTGTTGTCAGAATTTGGTTGTCTGCATTTGGTTCATGATGCCAGTTTAGGTGTTTTTCTGCACCGACAGGTTTTCTTTGATACAACCTCCCTTTCCCTTCTGGTAATGTGTAAAATGTGTGTGTGGTTTTCTTGTGCACCGCCAGCAGGAGGACGGAGCAAGCACAATCCTCAGGGACATTGCCAGAGCCAGGGAGAATATCCAGAAATCGCTCGCCGGAGTGAGTACCAGACCTCACCAGAAGGTGGTGCTGCCGTGCGCTAACCCTGTGTGTGTGTGTGTGTATGTGTGTGTCCCCATAACTCGGATCTGCAGTGCCGCCCATCCTTTATCCAGTGTGTTTTGTCTGTCTGCGCTGCTATTCTCTGTTCTGGATTGGCCGGATCCCAGGAGCCAGTAAAACTGCAAGCTTGCATAATAACATATAGTGACACCTCTGCATCATACATGGGCCCGTCGCACACGCACGCCCAACACACACAGGTTGGACTTGATGGACCTGTGTCTTTTTTCAATCTCAAATACTATGCATTTTTTATAGTCTCTGAGCGTGGACCAGTCTGAGGCAGTCCTCAATGGACATCCTCTACCTCTGGTGGATGGGGCGCTTCCTGGCACACAAAGCGTCCCTTGAAGCAACATAGTTCAAAAAAACATACACACCCGTCGCACTCCTAAAAGGATACAAAACCCAAATTATAGGTTGGGTGCTGAAATGACCGCGGATGCCTCCGCAATATAAGTCCAAAGATACAAAGGTCACGAGCACTCCAGCATGTAGAAAAGTCAATATTTATTGACTTCTAGATGTCACATCAGAGCGACGTTTCGGAACAGCAAAGTCCCTTTCTCAGGCAAAACCGATAACGTCGCTCTGATGTGACATCTAGAAGTCAATAAATATTGACTTTTCTACATGCTGGAGTGCTTGTGACCTTTTTTGTATCCTTGAAGCAACATATCGCCCGCCAAGTGCCATCAATATCATCCTCTGTGAGCGCGTCGCAAGACAGTCCATACAACACCCTAAAGTGGGTGATTGCTGTCAATGGCACAAAGCCTGAGTTCATGTTTCAGGGCCCCCCTCCCCCAGCAGGGCACTGCCAGATGAGATGCAAAGAAGTTTCTTCTTCCTGATGCACCGTGGGCAATTGCTGTATCGGCAGAATTGTAGACATGTCACCCGCACACCAATCCTTTTTAAGATGGCAAAAGCTTCATTTATTGAAGTCTTTAGTCATATGAACTAGGGATGTACCGATACGAGTATCAATATGGGTGCCGATACCGAGTACTTGTGCTCGCTCCTGGCTTCCTGAATGGGACTTCAGTTACTCGGTAATTGGTATCGGCGAGTACGGGAAAAAAATATCGGTACTCTGTACCAAAATACCGGTATCGGTGCATCCCTAATATGAACAATAAGCACTCTCGGGACCACACAGGGTCCCTTCATCAGGCTTTAGAATTGACGATTGAACTATTGCAACCCTGGCTATAGGGCTAATTGCATGAACATTGACAGACATATCCTCGCCAATGCTGAAGCCTGATGAAGGGACCCTGTGTGGTCCTGAAAGTGCTTGTTGTTCATATGACAAAAAACCAATAAATTTAATCTTTTGCTATCTTAAAACGGCTGGTGACATTTCTACAATTCTGCTATTTGCGGCGCCATGCGGAGTCACTGCGAGCAAACCCCCCCCACACACACTACAACGGACATTTCGGTGCAACAAGGATAGTATTTACAATCCCTTTATTGGCCCAGGTTTCTGGCATGTAAGCTGGTATACCAAAATGTGCCGGAACTTTTATAATGGGGGTGGGATAGAACTCGGGAAACACTACACTAAAGGAGAGGCGTCCATCACAAGCTGGTTTTCGGAGCCATTTCTATGAGCACGTACTTGCTTTCATTGACTCCATAGAATACCCAGCTGGCTCCTGAGCTCTGCGTCCATCCTTTCTATGTCTGTGAGCCTCGGATCTGCGGCAGATGTGCTGATAAGACTCCATCTTGTTTCTATCTGCAGTTTTTCCTGTTTCTGTCATTTCCTCTTTATGTTGATCTTTATAACCCAAATGAATCGGCGTGGTCCCTATTTGCTTGTGTGTGTTGCTGGACAGATTGGAAGCCGCTGTATCGTCTCTCGTTTCCCGGACTTCACTGCAAAAACGAGGGCTTTGGTGACCCAAAAAATATTCCCTATAAATGCAGTGTAGAGTCTGAAACTCTGATGGGTTCAATGCACCCGAATTCTGTGACTTTGTATACAAACGTGACCCAATGTCTCCGTAGTCTGTAGAGAACCTGGCCCAGCCATTCACTGCTAAATTCTGCAATATTAAAGCTGAACTCCAGGCAAAACACATGTATGGGAGGTGTCCTGTCTGCCAACAGAATTGTATTTCTGGCCGTCCAGTTCTGAAATTTTACTCTGCCGTATCACCTTGTCTGGCCTGGCAGGAGACCTGATTTTGCGGTTAAGTAACACTTATAGGTCTTGTTCCTCCCCCAGCCTGTGATTGGACAGAAAAGGGAGAAGCTGCAGACTGATGAGCGCCTCTGTCACCTCTGCTCGCTACTCCTATCAGACTGTCATTTGTTAGCATCTGCCCATTGCAGCACAACCGATGGGCTACTGCTTGCAGTCTGAGCTCTGATGTAATGGGAATTGTAAGATTCTGGTACCGAGTCAGATTCAGGAACTAGTGCGGCTTACCTTTTTATAGAAAAAGTTGATGCATTAATGCAGCGTTTCTCAACCAGCGTGCTGCGGCACAAACCAAACAAACATAAACAATGTTTTTCTAACAATTGTGCCAGTAAGCGGGGGTGTGGAAACTTACGGTAAACAAACTGCTTCTCCAAGGGCTAAAGTGGGGGCCCGGTCTAGGTGCCCCCTCGCTACAGTCCAGGTGCCCCTGGCACACTCACAAGCCAGCATGTAAGAAAACTTGTCTCACACTAAGGTTAAAAACAGAGGTTTAGATACACGTCTTCTGCAGAAAATGTGACCGCTGCGGCAAGGCACCTCTTATAGTGCGGTCCTAACTCTAAACTATGAGAGTCTCCATCTTGGAGCACATGAGGCAGAAGATAAAATTGGGTGCAGACTTGTCAGGAGGAAGCCCAACTCCCTTAAAGGCACAGATCCCGCACATCACAATGGCAGCTGAGACCCCCCCATGCATCACTGCACTGTTTAAAGCCCATTCCGTGTGCACCCTACTGCACCAAAACAGTCACGCAAAACAGATGACAAACGCACTCATCAATTCATCACCAGCTTTACAGTAGGGTGCACACGGAATGGGCTTTAAATAGTGCAGTGATGCATGGGGGGGTCTCAGCTGCCATTGTGATGTGCGGGATCTGTGCCTTTAAGGGAGTTGGGCTTCCTCCTGACAAGTCTGCACCCAATTTTATCTTCTGCCCCCATGTGCTCCAAGATGGAGACTCTCATAGTTTAGAGTTAGGACCGCACTAAGAGGTGCCTCGGCGCGGCTGTCACTTTTTCTGCAGAAGACGTGTATCTAAACCTCTGTTATTGACCTTAGCGGTGAGACGGGTGTTTTTTTACATGCTAGCTCGTGAATGTGCCAGGAAAACTTTTTGCTATTTTACTGTTTGAAGCCCTTCCGTGTGCACCCTACTGTAAAGCTGGTGACGAATTGATGAGTGCGTTTGTCATCTGTTTTGCTAGTCTATGTGCCCCCTCGCGACAGTCTAGGTGCCCGTCGTGATACAAAGAATAATCTTGACCAAAAATGTATTTAACAGTGCTAATTTTGCGAGTTTAATTCAGAGTAGATGGCACAGGGCAGCACTGGACGTCAGAATGGGGTACAGATAGTACACCTGTAGTGGCAGAGGGGAAGGACAGT